TGCTACTTATTTCCACGTATTTAAAATGAGCTATTTGATTTTGTAGTGCTATATATGAGAGTGATTCAGTAGAAATGCATCAAATATTTTCAATAAAAATTTTTTTTTAAACAGAAATAGTTCAACAAAGTTTAGTCAAAATTTTTATTAATAAATGAATTCTATAAATTTATTGAATTTTATTGAATTTGTTTAAAAATTTTTATTAAATTTGATTAATATATTGTTGAAACAATTTGATGCGTCTCTATCTATTCACCCATATACCAATTTTCCGCATGGCGATAATTTTCGATCTACTAGCACTGGGCCCAAAGGCCTCAGTTGACGGAGATTGGCTGGGTTTTTACTTGTAGTGGGATATTTTTTGTCACGACAATGGTTTAACAACTTATTACATTAATCAGCAAAAAAAAGGGTTGGAAACGCTTGTTAAAATAATAATAGGACGAATTGTGTACATACACGCTTATTTGTAACAATTTAGCACAGCCAATTAAAATATCTAAAATTCGTGTAATTCAACCCTTAACTCTAAATACGATTGGCTAATTTGAGGTTGTTACGTTTACAGGCTTCAAATACATTTATTCATACTAGTTAAAAAAAAAACAAACAAACAAGTGTGTTATAATCTATTTATATAAAAGAATGTTTATCTCCATGAAATAAAAAAACTCCAAACTTATGATATCTTCTTTTTTCTTTAGTATTTCTATCAATTTTATGATTATAACCTTGGTTTCTTTCTTCTTCAACCTTAATCTCTGCTTCTATATTATTAAAGTTAGGGCCAGTGTTAGGATTGAGGTTAAGAACTCTTTTTCTTCTTCTTGCAGTTATTGTTTCTAACTCCTCTTCGCTTTTACATTGTATTAGAGTTATTTTTATCAAATCTATGTAATTTAGGGTTATATTGATTATATCATTTATATAAAGTTGAATTATTTTTATTATAAATAGAGTTTTTTTTATAATAAGTAGAGTTGTTATAATGCAATTCAACGAAAAGCACAATAGGTTTAAAAAAGTTGATAAGAAAAAAT